ATTTGTRCCCAAAACCAGAGGGAACCGTTCCAGACCCATCAGTGCACCCAACTGATAAACCCCCAGAAGAATAAGATTTGTATTTTCTGTTGAGAATAAGACAGGGGAGAAGAGGCCCAATTTTTGGTGAAAATGGCTCTGAGAGCATCAGTGAACCCTCCCTGTCCCGTGTTACAGCTGGATACAGAGACAGCCCAGAGCCCCCAGCTGCCCCATCGAGCTCAACAAGTGCCCACAYACTCACTTAAAATCGATATTTAATCACATCAAAGCATAATGAGGAATTCTAGTAATGCTCAAACACTGTGTGTGAGGTTCTCCCCCACGGATTGTTTCCTCCCACCTGTGCCAGTGGAGATCCTCACCAGCCTTTGACCAGATCACCTGGACCCCAAACCCAACCACATCCATGCAAAGATTTTTATCTCAAAAGAAAGATGTATTTTAGCGGGTTACAATTTTCTATTTTTCTTTACTTATCAACACACACCTTCTAACATGGAGGGCCCTGTGAGAAATTAATTTCCATCTGAAAACAAACAAGGGCTGAAACAGTTTACAAAGGAACCCATCTTTCAAGGACATTTCCTTTTAAATTGCACAATGTGGCTCTTAGCAAGGAAAATAAATAAAACTTAATCCCTCTGCATTCCAGCTGGCATTTTTTCCCCAAGCTAGAAGCGAACAATCAATTTAAAGAAAACTCAGACTATGGTCAATTAAGAAACTGTATATCATTTCATTTATAAATACCAGATACCTATTCAATTGATTGTTTTGATCCAATTAAGTCAGTTTTACATTTTAAAATTCCCAAGAATGAAGTAATTTAGCCACATCCCAGTCCTGGGCTTTTCACATCTGTTGCTGCAAAATTCTGCAGCTCGTCTGGTCTTTGGCTGTGCTGTTAGCTGAGAGTGTTTCAGCTACCAGATTTATTTAAGGATGTGGATTGTAAGCCTCCAGGAAATGGCAGCTACTGGGAAAATTTGTGTCTAAATACTTATAACACAAAGATTTTTATTTTTTTAAGTTTGGTTTGGTTATGTATTTAAATTATTTTTCTACTACAATTTCTCTCTGTATGGATTGTCATCTTTAGGTTTGTGTGTGTGTGCGCCAGGATGTTCTCTGAACATTTTTAATGAGCTGCCAGCCCCCAGCCCCTGCTTCTCCCCTTCCCARCCTCCCTTTTCCWCCTGACTCCATCCTCTTCATCCTGYTCAWCTCTACCRGYGAAAAGGAGAAGGCAAAACCCTCTGGACAGCAACCTGTGGGCTTTTGGGAAGTTGTAGGGAGCTCACCAAGTCTAGCAGGCAACCTGTTTCTCTAAAAATGTTTGTTTTCAAGAGAATAGCCAATTCCTTGGAACCAGAGAATGCATTTGCTGCGTGGTTTATCAGCTGGATCAGAACTTGCTTTGTGAAAATGATGGAATTTCCCTGGGTGGAGAGCTGCACCAAGGAGAGAAGCCAGCACACCGCCAGCCTGGATCTCTCGCAGGACCCAGAAAGTAAAATAGCCATAATTAGAAGAAATAGGTATTTTCAAAAAGAAAAGTGGTATCTTTAGGGTGTGGGACTGTGAATTGTGATCTTTAATGTGGCTGCACACGCATATCACAAAAATGGGGATCAGCAATACTGCCACACTTGGCATTGTAACAGTAAGAAAAATTGAGTTTGAGGTTGCATTAACTGACAACTTTATGCCAGCAAAGCCAAAGAGATTAGTGGGGAAATGTATTTGTCAATCTTTCCCAYAAATGTTTCTGTGGGGTGACATCGCAGGCAAGGCTCAGAATGAGCAATCCACACACAACAGCTCCAGGCACTGCAGCGACTGAAAAGCTGAAAAATTAAAGGTCTTTTCATWCAAATTTAACATGCAGGAGGAAAAAAGCCAGCACCAGTCCTGTGTCACCTCCACAGCCATCCTGAAAGCAGCACAAACCTGCAGAGATCCATGGATTTTTCCTTCTCGATTCCTTCCAGCCCAGCCCTCACTGCACCATCCTGCTGGCTCTGAACACGGGAGGCCTCCTACACCAACCCAAATAAAATCCAGCGACATCAGATCCACCCCAACTTGGTTCATTTCATTCTGAATGCTTCCCAGCAACAGAAAATGCTTCAAACAGCCAGTTCTTCCCCCCCCAAAAAAGGGGGGCCTATGCACTGATATCATTATTCTTGTATTTTGACCCAGCTGAATTCAAACTCCTTGCCTGTCCCTACTGGTTAGGAAAAATGTACACGTCTGTGCTCAAACATTCAGGCTGTTTAAGCCAAATTATTTTTGTCTATATTAGAAAATGACTGAGGCAACTTAGAAAATTATTTTAATCAGGAAAAAGGGGACTCAGAAAGAAGAGATTTTCCCATGCTGGAAAACCGTGTGTGTTTCAAGAATTCTCAGCCTTGGCTTAAAATGAAGTGTTTCACTAGGAACAAGGAAGGAAATAGATTCCTCTGCTGCAAAACTGCCAAAAACCAAAGAAGCTGAGAGCAAGGCAGCTCAAAGAGAGGCTTTCAAATCAAACTCCTCGCCACAGACTTGTTTCTCTCCTCATGGAGTCATCCCACCTTGTGTAAATCCATTTATTTCCCTGAGCCCAGAGCTGGGACACCCGATAGGASTGACTAGACACACACCACCACACCATGTGATCAGCACTCCTATTTCCAACAAAAAACCAACCAGCCATAAAATTCCCAACTGTTCCCATTATATCACCTAGCTGGAAGCATCTTTTTCAGTCCAAATGTTCATCAATCACACCACCATCGTGAGCCCACATGAAAATGATTTCAAGCCTCAGCCTCCAGTTACACCCTGATCATAAACACTCCAAAAGCATTTTTTTCCCATTTACTCATGCACAGCTGCAGAGAAAAGGAAAATCAGCTCAAAGCAGTGTCCAAGAGGGAGTTCTGCACCAGACAGAGCACAGAGGTCAGCAGTGTTCACCCAGATGCTCCACAGAGCACTGAGACAGCCGTTTCATTTCATTCCTAACCTCCCAGCTCCTCCAGAGCAGCCTTCCCTCTTTTTCTCCTGTTCATTTCTTCTGCAAGATCTAAGCTGGCCTCAGTTTTGGCAGTTCTCACTTCATCCCTGAACTTCCTGACCTGCAAGATACGGCCMGCTTGGCTTATCAGTATTTATTTCCCACCCACCCCCATTCTTTGCAAGCGTGTTTTTAAGTTCCTCCTAGAGCTAGCTGTCCCYAGTTTTCAGAAAATGGTATCCTGCCAGCATTTCTGAGTTGCCAAAAACCAAAAATGAAGCRAAAATGAGCACACACCACAGTCCTTAAGCGTTCTAGTCCAGATTTTACCAAGCAGTTCCCAGCAGCAAGGCACACACTCCACCTCACTCTGCTCCTACAACTCTTTGTAAAGGTGTTGGCACTTGGTGGAAGTAACTCCCATCTTTCAAGCTCTGTTCCTATGAACTCTGCAAGYCTCTCTGAGCTCCCCTTCCTCTCCTTTCCCCCTTGAAGGGATCATTTTTTCAGTAGGAWGTGCATCAGAGCAGTTTTCATCCCATCCCACCCCACTTTGCAGGGCGCAGGACTCTGCACAGAGCAGTCACTGTCAGTTCCCTCCTGTGGGAATGCTGCAGCATCATTTTTCCTAAAAGATCACGTACCTTTCTGGTCTGTCAGGCTCCCTTCCAGTGCCACATCCACATTTCCAACCTAGAATCCTGGCAGGCAGGGTTTTTTTTATTTGTTGAACCTGCTGTTGGCCTTGATTCCCAACCAGTCTCCAGGTACACTCATTGCTGTAAATTCGTAGTCCTTTTCTATAGTTTTTGCATTAGCAATCAGCTATGAATAATTTAGGTTATAAAGAAAAAGGTCCATGGCCAAGAGATCAGTCAGGCTGAGGAACAGCTCYTTGGCATCAGCAGTGAAAGCAAACCTTGGGGGTTTCCAACACCAGTTCCTGTGTCTGTAAGAATGATGTGAGTGTGGAATAAGGATGATCCCGGTGATTTCTCCCTGCCCTACTGTCCTCAGCTTATCCCACAGGTGAGTTCCTCTCCCTTACTTCCCCAGGGTCACCATGCAGCCAGCACATCCCTCCAGCCTYCCTTCCCAAGGCAGACCAAGCCTGGCTCTTCCCACCTCTTCCCAGTCACTTGGGGTAACCCTTGCTCCGTACCGTGGAAGTGAGGTGATTTGACACACAGGAAAAGTTTCCCATCCTTTGTTTCACAAGTGTATGGGATTATTTTTCCACATTCAGTGACAGCAAACAGAGTTTGGATGTATCTTACAAACTCCGTGCATTGGGAGAAACCCTTTCTCCCACCCTACGAAGGAGCATTCTGTAATAGCARTGCCCAGAAAATCCCCATTTCCTGACTCCACAGACTTTTACATGTGGCAAGAATGGGAACAGCCTAAATTATGCAGATTGAAAGCTTGGGCATGGACAAAACATCCTTTTGAGAGAGACTCAATTCCACAGAAATGCAGGCATGCAAGAGGAGGACCCAGACCATGGACTGACAGGAAAGAAAATATGAGTTCAAGAAAAAYATTCTCAACTTTTTTTCCCCCTCCCCAAACACACCAAGCTGTTAATAAAAGTTTTGGGATGATCAGTGAAAGCACATGATAAATCCAAATTTCTGATTAATAGACAAGAACACAAAATTGACATAGAGAATCAGAGGATGGKATAAAGATGTTCCCATCCTGTCAGATGGAAGAAAATAGATTTGGGGTTTTTTGGGCTTCAGTAGCAGCAGAAACAGCCTCCAGGAGCAAATGTGCCTTTGTATTCTGCATTGGCCAAGATCTGGTGGCAAGAACAGGGAAGGCCAGGAGGTACCAGCAGRACACAGAGCACTGAAATGGAAATGGGGGAGAAACACCCATAGGGAGTTTCATTTATCCCCAGGGGGAACAGTGGGCTATCACTCTGAAAGGGGCTCTCACACACTTAACTCATGGAATTTCAGTGCAAGAATCACATAACCAGGTGTAAAAATCTTCAAATGTAATTTATTAAGACATTCAGCTATGTCTGTCAGTCTACATCCAAATTTACTACTAAAAATAAAATAGTATCACATTTCACATTAGGAATACCGACTTTGAAAAACACTTGAGTCAAGCCTATCGTATAAATAAGTGACTAATTTCTCTTCATATCAAAATTCACATAAAAAAATTGCCTGCCCCCTACTCCCACCTATTTCCCCACCCCAGTCCCTTGTTCTACTTGAAGCCATGATGAATGTAAAAATTTAAGTATGGACATGTCCTTGTCAAAGAAAAAAAGGTGCAAACCTATTAACAGCTTTTAAAAGTGGCATTTGCGGAGTCTGATCATACACAATAATGTACTCATTCCCAAAGTGCAAATATCGCCAGAGTTTAATACTGTTTTAATTCAGCTGCAAGGGTTAAACATTACATAGCACAGTCCTGCAAGGCCTCTATCCGTGCCCTAAAACTCATCCCACTTTCCTCTCACAGAGGCAAAGTGTTCATGAGAGCTTTAGTCTACTTCATGCAGCCCACACTGTGCCCATTATTAGCAAAAGTTTCATATACATCAAAATATTGACGACTCTGTCATAAAAGTCAAGAGTCACTATAGATTACATGAATTCAAATGCAACTGCCCCAAGAACACCCAAAGCATACACACGACGTATTAAGAGTGCTTCCATCTCCTGGTACAATCACTGCTGTTACATCTTTGATTTTTGCTTACGTGCCATAAAAAATGTCTGCATCCAAAGCTGCCCGTCGGTCAGAGACCAACAGCTCGCGGCCCGTAATGCCCCTCAGGACCCTGGGACATGGCTCTATGCAACTCCTCGCCCTGACCAAAACCAAGCCAGCCTCCTGTCCTTCTGGCCACAACCTTTCACAGACCTCCTGCTCCTCTCACCCCTCATCTACGTCTTGAAAACACTCTTTCACTGCTATTTGTTCCCAGACATCCTTCCTATGCCCGCAGTTCAGAGAGCTTCTGGAGTCATTTCTACTACATCTCACTGGAGTTACCGCTACCAAGCAGCCCATAAAAATCAGCATGGGAGATTACATTTTGACCAGCATTAATAGCTACACTTCTTTCACAGCTGTGGAAGGATTGGTTTTCTTCTGAGTCAAACGTGGATCTCTGAAATGTGTTTGCTCCCGTGTCACCCTCTGTAGGCTCAGAGCTGGACACAAACCCCGGGATCTGGAGCAGGGTACCCYGCTGGGGCTGCAATGAGTTCTGCAGCACAGGCTGCTCCCTGGCTGGCCTTGCAGGGGCTGGTGCCACTGTCCATGCTGTGAGACMCCCCTGGCTGGGCAGAGGCCTCGGGGCTCTCATGTCCATCGTGGCCTCTGCTCGGGCTGTCCTTCACACTTGGCCTATGGTCACATTCAGCACCAGGCTCRGCTGCGTCTCCAGGCCTGGCGTTTTGCTCTGCACTTGGATTTGGCTGCTGCACTGGCTCTGGTCCCAGTCCCGGGAGCTGTGAAGGGCTCTTCAGTTGGCAGTGGCACAGAGGGCAGGTTTCTTGCACGTACAGCCATTTCTTAAGACAACCCGCATGAAAAAAATGGCTACATGGTGTGATTACAGCAGTTTTCATATCCTGAAAGACACACACACACAGACAAAAAAAAGGAAATATATTATTATTTGTAATCCCATTCCTCCCTTCTCATCCTGCATATCTAATGAGTTCACCAGGCATGGAAGAGACAGAAGCAGTCCATGGGTGAGGAAGAGGATGCTTCTTCCTTCACATCCACAATGAGGAGCAGCTGAGGAGGCTCAATCTGGAGAAAAGGAGGCTCAGGGRAGACCTTCTCACTCTCTACAACTCTCTGACAGGAGAGGGCAGCCAGGTGGGGCTGAGTGTCCCAGGGAACAAGTGACATTTCTTCCCAAGAAGAAATGGCCCCAAGCTGTGGCACGGGAGATTTGTTTTGGGTATCAGTAAGAATTCTTCACAAAAAAGGTTGTCAGGCATTGGCAGGGAGGTGGTGGAGTCACCGTTCCTGGAGGTGCCCAAGGAAGGCCTGGATGTGGCACTCAGTGCCATGGTTTATTTGACAAAGTGGGGATCAGTCACAGGCTGGACTCAATCTTGGAGGTCTTTTCCAACCTTAATGATTCTAAGATATACACACAATTGGAATAAAGGCCAGGTCTTGCTTTTTTTTAATTACAGGTATCAAAAATAAGGCAGAAACCCTTTGTTTATAAGATATTATTAAACATGACATTTTGCAAGATGAGAGTCACAGGACTGGTTGGCTCAAGAAGCAATTGTGCAAGTCAAAACAGCACAATGACAGATACAACATGTAACAACACCAGAAATGAAGTGACACCACGAACTCTGTCAGCTGAGACCCACATTATCCTAGTCTGGTGTTTTGAACACTGTCATTCAATCTGGCAGTTTYACTCTTCAAAGAATTTGTATCAAGTTTGGAGCCAATCCAATCACACTCTAACRGCACACTACTAATCTTAGGATGATTCTTTCACTGTCACACATAACTAYAAATTCTATTCAAGAGTAAGAGACTTTGGAGCTAGAAGTGTGATAAAGATATTACTTTCAGCATTAATGTCCAAGGTCCTTACATCTGCTGGCTTATGTTAGCAAGACCCTTAACCTTTTGATAATTAGGTTTCTGCTACAAAACTGACACTGCACATGAAGTAGCAATGTCTGTGGAGACTGAGCTGCTTCTACAGAATAATAACAAATCAGCTACTGAGAACACGTTGTCTTTCACTAACAAAATCCTCCAGTAATGAAGAAAGGGCACATTTGCTGCTACAACTGAGACCAGCTCAACACAAACATGAGAGGTGTCAAAGCAGCTTAAGGACAGAGTTTGCTGTGTAACTGAAAAAAAAAAAAAGAAAAAGGCAGTTTAAGCACATCCAAGCTCTTCATTCCTAAGAACTACCTTGGTGACAGCACTCCAAATCAATCTGCACAAAGCAGAAAACTGGGTATTTCCAGTAACTTACAGGGCACAGTATTATTCATTACACATAATTCAAAGCACTTATTGTACTAGTTGAAGACTGAACTTAGTCTGGGGGTATTTCAACTCAAGCCAATCCTTCAACACTTCCATTCCTACCTGGTAGCAGATGGCACAGATGTCATTGTGCTGCTCCAGCTGCTCCTTCGTGGCCACGGGCAGAGATTTGATCTTATTCACAGCGTCTCTGCGAAGGAGGAAACTTTTCCAGCCCAGCTGGGCCCGCAGCCACACATTGTAGTAGGAGTGAATGAAGATGATGACGGAGCCCATGACAGTCCACTCTCCAAAGATGGTTTCTGAGACCCCATAGGCCACCACACACAGAGCCACCAGGAACTCCAGCAGCCGGTACGTGCCGTTCACGTAATAGATCACATCGTCCATGTTCTCCACTGGCTCTTTCCTGAACTCCTCCACCATGAACAAAACGTAAATGAASAGGGTCCCAAGCACCTGGAACACAGTGCAACACCACAAGCTCAGCATTTAATTCTGAACTGAAGCTTGAGCTACTCAGTGCTGTCCATCAAGTTCTGCCCACACAGCGATCCCAAGGTGGACAGCAGGCAAGCCCCAAAATAGTAAAATCGTTGCTGAACTTCAAGACAAAAAAAAAATTTGCTCTTTCTTGCAAAGCATTTAAGCTTGTTCCCAAGAACTTCCCCTTCTTGACTTTGCTGAGTCCAGAACACAGCTGAGTTGATTAAACAAGCTTGCTGAGCATTATAAGGGGCAATTTGTAAAGATTAATAATGAAAAGCCCAAGTAATAACAGATACTTGTAGTATAATATACTTCTGGTATTTACACAACTGTGTTTTGAACATCAATTTGCTTTCAAGGAGTTACAGCTAAGTAATGACACAGAAATGAGTACTCTGGGAAAAAAAACCTTTTTACTATGATAGTCACACCCTCAAAWGCCTTTTGGCTTTACAGTTTGAAACAGAATTCCATTCACCTCTGTTCTCAGCCTACCCAGAAGCTCCTTAGCTTCAGATACAGGACAAATAGAGATTTTGTATCATCCCTTGTAATTTTGCCTTTCTCTCATTCCTGCTCTTTTCTCATCATGTATTTCCCCCCTTTAGAGTGACAGGATCACAGTTAATGCAGTGCTTCACAGGGGTGATGCTCTTACCTGAAGAGAGGTTAGAATACTGCTGGAGATAATGATCAACAGCCAGAAATCCATGTGGAAAAACTGACAAATCATGTAGGCCATGTACGCAGGGAACACGAGTAAGAACAGACAGAGGCTGACTGCTCGGAAGTGCTTCCACAGGCTCCTGCAAACAACACAATAGGTTTTTATTTTTCAAGTCAGATTTGAGTGTCAGAAAAAGAATAGGCTGACTGCTGGATGTAGGCACGTTAGATGTTTGCTCAAGGCTTTAGCTTGTTGAAAGGAGTTTCTATTTTACTTGGGCACAGTCTCATTCTCAGCTTGCACACAAGCCTACAACTGAGGAAAGTTCCCTCTCATCTGACCTTTGCTGTTTCCAAAAGAAAAGACAAAAATTACAGGCAAAATAAGTACTTGAGATACTGAATGTTACAGATGGAAGTCTATTAAAATRAATTATTAAACGTGTGACTGGACACTTCTCTAAGCCAACGGGGGTCTCTAAATTAAATAATTCTTGAAACTCTTCATCTTTTTGCTAATACATGTGAGGCAAAGCTGTTCCCTTTCATCACCAGATTTAACCCTGCTGCCTTTAGAATTATATTCCCCAATTCAGAGATCACAAAAGAAGAAATGTAGGACATGAACATTTATCTCTGCCAGTCCTTACTCTGCTCCTATCATCTRCTTCTTCCTAATCTCCTCCCCCACCTAAACACATCATCAATCTYCTTTCATTCAGCCATCCATTTCTGAAGGCTTTCAGACTATCTCTAGTAATTTACTATAGCACCTCTACTTGTTCCTCAGGTTGTATTTTAACATCACTTAGGACATGAGGTACAGAAAAAGTCAAAGTATTTGGGGGCACAGGAGAGCCGCACAAACTTTCAGTACAGTCTGAAGAAACATCAGAGCAATTCTGAGGTCTGMAATTSTGTGTCTGTGGGTGAGGRAGGAAGGGAGAGCTGAAGCAGAATTTATCMTGTTCCTTGCTGATTTAGAAGTGCCTGGGARATTTGGCAGAAGAGTTAAAACTCGCTATCAGCACAGTCTGCTTGTCTAAGCTGGGCAGATGCTCCTACCCTGGCTCCACTCCCTTTCCCTCTGTTTCTGTCCTGGAAGTTAACTTGCTGCAGGCAGAACACAAGTAGCCTCTAAGCTAAACAAGCTCTACACATAAACAAACCTTCTCTGTTCATTTCTTCACCCACAGATTACAGAAAGGGAAAAGGCAAAGGCAATTAACAAAGACACAAACAGATAAATATGAAAACACCAATATGATACCACCAATACAGCTCTGCAAAAACACAAATGAAACTGAACAATCCCCCAGGATCCCAACATRTGGGACACTAAGGCAAAGCTTCCATCTCTTATTTTGTGCCAGAAAACCCTATCATTTTGGGATCACAGGCTCACAAAAAATAAAGGTTTTGCAATACCTAACACTCCTAGAAACTTCCCATCCTCAATAGCTGTGTGAGATCACTGCTTTAGAGGGAAACCCACCCAGCTGCAGAGGAGRTTAAGAAAAACCATTCTGCAAATCCACACAATGGAGTGTGGGTGGGGAGAGCAAAGCGCTGGATCTGCTTAACTGGAACCACAAAACTGGACAACTTAGGCTAGAAAAGAAATCTGCACACAGAAAAAAAAACAGGGCAACTTTACAAGCTACTAAAAGCCATCMATTACTAGTTTATCACCTCCTAAAAGAGCATTGAGTAACTTTCAGTTTAGGAAAGCAGTCTCTTACTTGTCCCTTGAGGCTCCCAGAGCCAAGACAATGGGATCAGCAATTTCCAGCATGGACTGAAGGATGGATGCCACCACAATGAAAAGAATAATACTGAGCAGGAATGCTCGATGCACAACTTGGAGCTCAATCAAACCTGTCTGCACAGCCAGGATCAGGAGTGTGACTCCTTCAGTCATCCCCCTGCAGATCAACATAGTCAAAAAAAAACAAACAATCACATCTCTGTGTCAATGTTGCTTCAAAAGTACATCTAGAAACACCAGGAAATAAGCTGCCYGCTTCTGTCACAACCTTTCATATGTCACTGGTTTTGGGTTTCACTGGTGCCCCTGAAAGGCTTTAACCAGGGAGGGATGTCTTCAGAAATGCTGAAGTGCTGGGCATAGGAAACCAGCAGATTTTGCTCTTGACAAGCAGCAYTTGGGCTACATCCAGCTCAAACACCACCCAGCACAAAGCATTTTCATGACCCAGTTTAGGCAAATTACCAATTTTGCTATTTTTCAGTTTATTCCCCCAGCTGTCCACTTCTTTCTCTCTTGGAACCATAGAGTRACTTTAATCCCTCTGGGGATCACCATCTAGAGCACCACTATTTGATGCAGTAAAGTACACTTAACCCAGACGAACACAATTCACCAAAATATGCTTTTGTGTAGTCTATGCCTAGGCAGCCCCAATTTATACTCTTTTCTTCTTGGAATCCGAAATGTAAAACATTCTTTTGCAAATGGTTTCAACTCTCTACAGAGTTAAGGGCTGGAGTAATAGAAAAGGCAGTGTCAGGATCCCAATTTCATGTAGACAAGTTGGGACAAACTTGAGTAAAGGCATTTTGGCTATTTCACATAACAATTTACAACCAACCCATAAAATGCTGTGTTTTAAACCTCATAGATTAGTAACRTTTCATACATGATTAAAGGGGAGATGAGGAAATGAAAATATSAAGTGTTCATATTATGCAAGCATGTGAAAATTTTTCAGTGATTCACAARAACAAAAGCAATTATAAATCCAAGTAACAGCCCTGAATTTGTTATAGGAATGAACCATCTATCAAGGAGTCTGTGACAAGTATTTTCACCTCAAACCTTTCCAATGCACACRCAGACTGGCATACAAAAAGCCTGTCAAGAGGTCAAAAGTAAAAAAAACTGCAATGCCACTTGTATATTTTTGAATAAATCCCCTTTTTATCTGTTTCTTTTCAGACACTAGGCACAACGAGGCACTTACCTGTTCATAGCRGGATCATTCATGAACGCTCTGTAACCCTGCAAGTAAAACTTGCAGAGAGTCAGAACTCCCAAAGCAACAAAAGAGACAGTGAAGACCAATCCCAGCAGCGAGTATGGAGTGCTACAGCATTCGGCAATACTGGCAGGAGAGAGGAAAACCAAAAGAAATGGTTGATCAGTCAAAAGCAATGTGATGAGCTCTCCCCTTGTACCTGTTAAGTGTGCAAGTTGGTTTTAAGGCAAAATTGGATGGGTTTAATGAAAATATTAAAACTTCTACACCGCTATTAAGTCCTACAATAAAAGAAAAASATGAGATGGATTCTATTCTTTCCAAGAGAAAGGTTTATCGAGCTCCCCCTTGGAGCCAGGGCTGTGCTGTGACATCCCTGCAGTCCCCTCAGTGCAAAGCCACGTGGTGGCACTGTCCTGCTGCTGCYGGGGTTCCGAGTCTTCCAAATGACACAAGTGTACATGGGCTCGAGGGCAGAAAGCACAAACTGATGGAAGAGTTTTCTGTGGGTTACTGAAATACTTATTAACCACAAACAGTGAAGTTGGATACAAGACTGGATGAGTCTAGGAAGCATCCTGTTTGTCATATAATGGGTGGGTGTCCTTCCAGGAACCCATTTACAGCCACTGCTGGGAAATGGATCCCAGGCTCTCTCAGGATTTGGTCTGACCCAGCATAGCCACTCTGATCTCCTCATGAAAGTCAGACACAGCTGCTGTGCACACCCCAATTGCTCCCACCTGAATTCCAGCCTCACTGTTTTAAGCAATCATTCCATTGAAATGCACAGATGCAGAATTCACTCACTTTCATGGAARAGCACATCTTTTCTTCCACTTTGTTGAACAGCCAGCACTATATTATTACCTGACCTGACAAGGTACTTCAGCTCCCTCCTAGGGGGCCAGAGGCTGTTAGAGGTACCACTAGAGYTTGTGTTTTTAAGATGAGTGTTTTRTCCCTGATTTGCCACAAACAGAAGTGTAACAATTTGGTGYAGGAATAAAGTCAAACTCTAGGAGAAGGATTGCTTCCCACACCTCTGCTAAGTGCTAAGTGCAGTACTCCATTGTAACAAAGCTAAAATCRCAGAAGAAATTAACAGAAAGAAAAATTTCAGACCTAAATGGTTTAGTTAACAACGAGGTAACAGTCAGTGCTTCTGCATAATGCAGTGTGACATCATGAGCAGTTCTAACACTATATGCAGTAAAAATCCTTAGCAATTCTCCTTAATGATAATTAATTTTGACAGCTWACACGATGGCACTATAGACAGATACACACAGCAAGGCAAGAAAAAGCTCAGGAATTGTAAAATCTGATTGAAAAACTGTAGTGATGATGAAGTGATTAATCAAACAGCAGAACTAATGATGTATGATCTCTAAAGACTCTGTCCTGTGSTAGCTGGCTCTGTTTAAACAACTGTTACCTCTCTTTTCCCCCATCCCATTATGACACTGTATCTAATCTGACTAACCACTTTMTACAGCACCCCCAGCTCCTCCCTCCCTGCATTCCTGCTCCCTTTGTATGGACAAACTGCTGAAAAAGACACGTAGATTCCAGCCAGGAGAATCCCTCAAATGCTGCCTTTCAGTAAGAGCACTAACACAGACCTCTATCCTTTATCTTACAACCTTTAAACTTCATAAAACTTTATAGCCCATAAAACTTTTTACGTTTTTAGAAAGCTTTTACWAATCTGGCACCTTTCTGATCTTCACACCTCTGCCACATTAACCACTGGGCTCAAAAGTTGCTTCAGAGCTGGTTGCTTTGGCTGCTTGGATGAACTCAAGAATGTGTCCCACACCAAAATTAAGTAGTAAGATAACCAAGGCTCAGAAAGCAACATGGTCATGAAWATCAGTTGGACTGAACTTAAGCTGAAATATCTCAGACTCAAAACACATTTACATACTGAAAACAACTTCAGGACTAATTACGGCTATTCCTTCCTCAAAGGAATATTTTGCTTTCTTTGGGAGCTCTCTCACAGTTCTATTAATGTTGTCTGCTCTGAATGGGATCTATGACTTTGTAGGGACAAACTTAACAGGGTTTATATGCATGGTCACTGCAATTAGGATGAATATTTGTTGGGTATCCAAGTGCAATAAAGCCAATATCTCTAAAAGAGATCTCTAAAAGAGAGAGCACAGACTCATTTTAGAACACAGTTCAAACAGAAAACCAACCATGTGCAGACTCCTGAATTACCTGGTCAAGAAGAGAAAGAGGAGCCTCTCTCTGGAGGCAGGCTGGTCCCGTGTACTGAAATAGGAATAGATCTGAAGAGCAAATAAGACGAGCCAAAACACCATGAAAAGCACKGGGACCACCAGCTGGTTCCACAGAGACATTCCCAACGCCAGGAGYCCGTACACCTCCACCACCTGGGAAGACACAAAAAAGACAGATTGTTATAGGGTCACAGAATCTGGGATTTGATAACAAAAGAAAAGTCAACAGTATAGCCACAAGAAAGGCAAGATGATCCATGTGGTATCAGCCATCCAAAAGGAAGAGAGGAGGTACATCCAACTACTGTGACAAAGACAGAGCTCAGGTTCAGTGGTGACAGATTTCCAGTCTGTCAGGCAGCAGGGAGAAGTACCTGACTATGCAGCAGCAAACCCTCAGGACAAGCTGAATGTTCCTTCCTACGAACACCCGGCTTGGAGCTGCTCCCTGCAGCCCACTCACAGCCAGAGGCATTAGGACACACAGCTCCAGGTCATGACAAGCCCCTCAGACCCTCTTGCCCAGGTAAAGTCACACCAATGCTGTTTTCTCTGTAGCTACTGTGAAGTCACAGTACAATCTAGACACTGAAATGAGTCACACCATTAAAAAAATAGTAGATCTACTTTGCTGACCTGTTTTTAAGGAAAAATGTAATACTTCATGCACTTTATGCAGAAGTATCTCAAAAGGTTCACATATCTAATCCACTAACTGTTTTGAAATTCATGCTTAAGACTTACATCAGAAGACTCTGAAGCTCAAAGTACTTCCTTTGTATTGCAAAGACTAAGTTACAATCATTTCCAAGAAACTGGAAATTCATATAGCTGGACTTAATACAAAAGGTCAAAAGGAAATCACTCATAACTACTAATTCCTCATCACCTGCTTCCCACACTGACATAAAAGCCTCATGGAGAAGAAATTCTAGCAAATGCTAAAAAAGCTGTCAGGCACGAGGGATATGACATTTACGGGACCTGCTGCAGTCCTGGGGCTGATGGACAAGCAATATGCTGCTGGCAGGGACACAGTGCCAAGCTCCTGCATTGCTCACAGRCTTGTCAAGGAAGTGCACCTGCCCTCAGGAGACTCCCCTGGCCTGGGACCAAGGCAAGCAATCCTGTGCAGCTCCTGGCAGAGCACTCCACCAAATCGGAAAAGGGTCATGCTACGCTCATAACATAGATTCATAACCGTGAGGCATTTCTGGCATCTGCTGCTGCTAACAGGCAGCCAAGGTTCTGGGYCTGCTTTTAAATTATACCATTAGGCACCTTAACATGCACACAAACACAAAAAGCTGCCCTGGCCCACCTGTTAGGGCTCTCAGGAAACACTCCTGGTGTTTAACATCCCAMTATTMMCTAGTTTTTGACACTGACATCAAASCTGCAATCAAATCCAGCCTAAAACAGCAGTAAACTCACAAACACCAGGATAGAGACTGTACTGAAAACCAACAACTGCTCAAAGTTACAGCAAAATACAAGTAGGAAATACAAGTAGGAAAAAATTCCAGTTGGAACGGCAATATCCTCCTCTGGAATACATATCCAGGCTTGATTTGCAGTGGAGTTGCAAATAGTTACATGAACACACCATGAGCCAATGTTTTTTCTGCTGTTTCAGGAGMACAAGCAAAGAGCAGCAAGTTCTTAAAAAACAAAAATCCTGGGTTTGCCAATACAATGTGAAAACCACTCACAACTATTCATTGCAACTCTACCACCTGCACTCAGAAAAGCAGCATCYAACACCCTTACAAACCTAGGGCCRCATTTAAAAGTTTCTGCCATTTTTTCTCTATTCTCAAGGGAAAAAACTTTATGCTTTTTGTATAAAAAAAACAGGAGGAGTACAAAGARTATCCAAAAGCCAGGAATACAAGYAATATTTCTTCCTTGTAATTACAACACTGTAAGACAGGCATGAAAAGATTTTAAATACTGAGACAGGGCAAGGGGGAGATGAGCAATTCTAAAGATGAGGAGGCATGGGTAACAGCAATATTTAAAACTTAATTCTGATAAAATGTCAGTAAGAAACAACTATTGTCYCCCTCAACCTGGAATATATTTGCAATTAAAACATTTGTAAGATATTGAAGTGTTTGAAACATAAGAGTCTAATAAAAAATAGATCAAATCCCCATCTAATCTGAATTTGACTTCAGGAAGCCAAACTGTGCATCTATTCATGCATATGGAAAATGGAAGTGCTGGTTCCAACCCTTTGCAAGGCTTTGAGCTGCACAAAGGCATGCAACTGTTTTACCCCAAATGTTACCATCATGCACAGTAAGCATGATATTTCTATTCTCACTGGGGAACAGGATATTGAAGCTTTGCCAGTTAGCTCCCAAATTTGTTTTTAATTGGCAAATCTACAAGCCAGKGGAGGTTTTGATTGGATTAGGAAAAATTTCTTCCCTGACAGGGTGGTCAGGCATTGGAACATGCTGCCCAGGGCAGTGGTGGAGTCACCATCCCTGGAGGGATTTAAAAGATWTATAGATGTGSCACTAAGGGACATGCTTTAGTGGTGGCCTTGGCAGTGCTTGGGTTAGTGCTTGGACTTGATGATCTCAGAGYTCTTTTCCAACCTAAACARATCTGTGATTCCACAGACGAGGTCAGACCATGCTAGGTGCTGTACAAACACAAAAGGATAATCCTGCTCTAAGGACCAACTACATGCAAAATAAATAACCAGACACCAATGATCAACATGACAGGCTGAGACCTTGGCACAGCAGACACCTCCTGCTGCCAAGTTTTTGTTTGTGTATGACAGATATGACAGCAAACAAGAGCTTTAAAAGAAGGTTTTGAAAAAGCTTAACAAGTTCATTTTCAGACTGCTTCCAGACTGAAGAGCAGAAGGCAAAAGAAACCTGTGGCTTGGTATGAAAAAAATCCAGCCAGTGGTGAGAGCTGAAACAGTGGCTAGATCAAAAGTGAAGCAAGCATCAATATTTTTATATTGAAATATATAGAAGGATGTATATATATATATATATTTATATATATTAAAAAAAAACAAGTACTGGTTTGTGTACCACTGAGAAAGTATCTTTTGAACTAAACATGTATCAGATGCCAAAGCATTAAGAAAATGCACACATCAGATCAGTCTTCTTGTTTGAGGTCTCAGTAATGCTGCTGGTCAAAAGAAAATACTACAAACGTTTCAAATCACTGTGCAAGTTACAAATCACTAAGTCAGTGACTATTAGAGTCAAAATCAGCTTCAGTGTCACTCCCTATTTAACACTTCTATAAYTACGAACACTTTTCATACAGAAGGCATTTCTTGAAATGAACAGCTACTACAATGAATGCCCAGGGATTACCTTCCTCACTTAATAAGGCTGCAAATAAATTCCATTCTGACACAATCTTGTCTTTTAGCCTGGATTTAKAAAGAAATAAGCCATGTCCAAGCAAAGTGGAGATGCTCAGCTGGCCAGCAGCATAATTCAGGCTAATGTCTTAACTGCTCACCCATCCAAAGCTATCATAAATTAAAGAAAGAAGATGCTGTGGGTAGGAGCCCATTTGTTTGGCTAAGAAAGCGTGAGTTAGCACACACACACAGAGGTGCACAGAAGCCAGCTAAAGTGATTTTTTTTCTTCTGTCCTGCATAAAAGGCTCAGAAAACGGAATTGTTACATTCACCGTTTTACCTGGACAAGCTCTCTGTACGCAGACTTTGCCAAGTTATAGGGCACCAGAAGATTTGACGCCAGGAAGTAGAGAACTTCCAAGCCGGTGAAAATCATGGCGAATTTGTTGATGATGACGATGGTCTCGAGCGGGACGAGGCAGAGCCGTGCCAGGAGAGGGAGCATGTGCGCGGAGAACAGCCAGATCTGCTTGGTCTTCATGACGCAGGAGCAGAGCGTGCACACCACCAGCTGCCCTGGAAACGCGACACAGCAGTTCAGAATCAAGCTGATTATCCCCTTCAGGAAAAAGCGTATTTTAATACGTTATCTTTCCAGAACACCGTTATCAACATCCAGCATATTATGACGGTTCTAACTAGGACATCTCTGTTATGAAACCAGGCTCCTCTCCGTGTCTTTTGCTGGGTCACTAAAGTTACCCTTTCCAAAGTGCGCACAGCGAATGCTTTCACTTCGCAGATTAGTGAGCTGTAAACCCAAAACACATGCAGGATCAGATTAATAAAGCCCCAGGAATAAATCATACAGAGGATAACCCAACAAGTCAGCCCTCTTCTTTCTCACCACCCCCAGCTCAGCTGAAATCCCATCAGTATCTACACACAGCAGCTTTTCTGAAGCCCAGCTACACTATTTCATCCTGACCTACACAAAAAAGCAATCAGAGGTCCCAAATGGCTTTTAGAGCAACAATATTTACACTGTCAAGAGGAATTAYTGGCCAAGAACAGCAACAGGAGAACAGCCAGGTCAGCAGCTGAGATTTCAATAAATTCATAGCGCCCTGAGGCACTTGCTCAGAATGATCACTGAAGCTTGCAAGTGACAGATAATTAACAACTAAATTCTCTTTAATAGCTGRTGGGGACACAAGCATGACCACATCCCCCCCACACACCCAGAGATTTGGAGGGTGGTATTTCTAAAGCACTAAGACCACKCCAGTACAACTGCTCCCATCAGAAWCACTGAAGTTGTACCTTTGATCCCAGAGGAAACTGAATGGGGCAAAACKCACATTGCTGGGCTAAGAACAATCCTCACTCATCATTCTGCAGTAAGGAAAATTTTTACTTTTACTGCATATTACTCCATATTACTTGAAAACATACTCTTGTTCTCCATCTTTCTTGTTTTATATCCAAACAGCACAATACGTGGTACTAAACCCAACTGTCTCTGCCCTGTTTTGGAACCACCTCCGCCGATGTTTGCATGTCATAACTCTCCCTGAAACCAAGAGCTGGCTTTAGAAAAACAGAGGAACCAGAGCAAGGCTGGTAACATCTCTAGGTCAGCACGAACTCCATGTGCTCMCATAAGCTCACTGACCTTGTAAGCCCTTCTGGACTGGCTCAGGAGGGAAGCTGCGAGAGGAGAAACAGCAGTACCAGGGTTTTGCTTTCATTCTGCCAAGCTTCCCTACCTAGGGAAGGACTTCTGCTCTCAAAATAACTGCAACTGAGCTGAAAGCAATCTCTAATCTCTACTACTTAAGCATACAAAGTTCTCCCTCCTTCACGCTGTCTTCTTTCAAGTTAAATTCCTACTGTCAATTTGATAGATGTGTTTTTGAATTAGCAGATGTCTCTACAGAACAAGCACCCTTGCTCTCAGCAAGACACTATCATCATACTGGGTTTTCTGAGCCTCAGAGAAAGTTACTCTACTCATCTCTTTAGATGTTCAGCAGACTCCAGCTCTGAAGCATTCTCCCTCTGCTTTGTTGTTCTCTGCCCACACACACATTGCTACAACCCTATTTAAGACACCACCAGCACACTGCTGTGCTGTCATATTCAGGAGCCTGGCAGGCAGCTTGCGAGGATTTCTGCAACTCATGGTAACTAAGGCAACTCAGCTTCACACACAAAGGGACACAAACACCAGCATCCAATATGTTCTTCAGCATTTAATAAGAGTGTCGTCATCTGAAATCAAATACTGCRACAGCATCACATTAAACAATGCAGTGCTCTCTGGAATTACTCTGGAGCTCTCCAATCACCAATTACAGCCTCTGAGTCTGGTCTCAGTAAACAGCAGAAGCTGCTTTCCTCCAACAGCCACGTGTGGATTATGCTACTCATCCCTGGCCCTCCTGTGTTTTTCATTTAACACTGATCAGAAGTTACTTGTCATGATAAGGAGAACTATACACATCATCAACGGAAAACATGGAGTACTTTCTCTGGAGGTTCCAATCTCCTCCCTCAAGTGTGCACCCTGTCAATTCCCAACCCCTGCAGGAAGGGCGTGAATGTCTCCAATGGACCTTTCAGTGCTGGTATTTCCCATCTTAAACTGKGGTAGCAGCACCTTAGTTCGGAACAGCCAATGTCCCTCTGCAGCAAATCTCACTTTATGTCCAGGTGGGGCTATACAGCATCAGTCATCAACAGCACACAGCAGGATCCCCTAGAGAAAGTAGCCTGCACCTCATATCAAAGCATAGATTTTAACACTCTAGGTATCTGCTAAGACTATCAAATCCAAGTGAATGTTCGCACTCTGCAAACTGCAATGCTGTGGCCTGAAAACTGACAGACACAAATAATGAACCCAACAGCTGGAACACACCAACCCTGGAAGACACCAACCAGGTTCCTCTGCTACAGAATGGAGCAATAAGGAAGAAATCCATTGTGTGAACTTCCTGTCCATTCTTTTCCCTTCTCCAGACCTCCACAAATACATTAAACATTGCTGACAGGTAGCCAGAGCCTCTCAGCTCATAAGCTAATGGAAAATGTTCAACAAGAAAGCTGACATGGCACAGCCACTGTACAAGCCACTTGGAGCAGAGAAGCATCTCTATTCTATTCACAGTTTTAGAAAGCTGATGTTACCAAACTCCCTGGCTACATCAGTGACTGTTACTCAAAAAACAGGGTATCCTAAAGTTACAAAACCCCATTATTGCACTAAGAAGAAGCAARTCTTCATGGTAGCATCACTTCCAAAACTATGCAGCAGTTTTGAAACGTTCACAGCTGACATGTTCCCACAGTAGCACACTCATCCAAGGGGTCGTCTCCAAAGACATTTATTTCTTCCATCAATGAACTCAGGAACATGTTAGTATCCCTAGACAGCAGTCATCAGACTGAGTTAGTGCAGAGGAAGAAGTGACTGTGAGATCCTATTCTGCACCTACTAATGAATAAAAGCATCAGCAAAGGTTACATTTGTGAACGAACTGATACTGTACAYCATTCCTTTAATTCTGACCAGAACTTTAGGAACCAGAGCTGCAGCAGTAGCACCATTATTCCATTCCCTCATGCACCTGCTTTCACCTGCTCACCACTTTGTCAGCAGTGCTGCAGCACAACACCCTGTCAGAATGTGTGAGAAGAAGATGGAGCAAAGCACCTGCACATTCATTTTGCTGTGAAGGTGACACCACTCAGAGCTGTGCATTGCTGAGACTCCACTGAATAAACAYCCTTGTATACAACAAATCTGAGAAAATATTTCATATTTATACAAAACAGTGTCAAGCCTCACAGACCACTTTCACAAGTCTTYCCCAAAGATGACTGCTTGTCATCAAGACCAAAATTACACTTTAAAGTTGGCTTTAAAATAATAAGGAAAATTAAGAATGAGGATATTAAGTATGTTAACACATACACACATGTTAGTACAGTCACAAGCACCTATTTCTGAAACACAATTACAATAAGCGGACACTTTAGTCTGACACCCACTACAACCCAAAACTGTATGGGATAAAATCATTATCTTCTTCYCAGTTGTTTTCAATCCCTATTAGAATCTGGATGCAGCATACTGGTTGGACTCTCAGTTTAGTTTTTATGTGTTACGGAATAACACAGTGCCTGCTGACCTCTTCCTGCCCAGGCCTGCCTRCTGCTTTGTGAAGCTCACTGAGGGATTCTGCTTTAACATGGAACCCTGCACCTGGGAGAGATTCACAGGACTAATTACAAATACTTTCTCATAAAAAAAAAAACCACACCAAAAGCTTTAGTTGTACTTTGGTATCATTTGACAAGACAGAAAAACATACCTAGACATTCAGAAGAATCTGAATTGAAACAATATTTCCTTTAAAAATACCAATGTTACTTATATTGAAAATTTTAAAAACAAAGACAAATGCCACATTTGAAAGCAAGAATGCAGGCAAACAGGAGATGGATAAATTCTGTCAGATCTAACATACTGTAAAGCAGAAAACCCATTTCTATTTGCCAGTAGCAGCTGCAAGTAAACAGAAAGCAGCTGAGTTTTGCCAACAGTACATGGCTGACTAAATCTGTCAATAATCTGATGAAAACCATAGATCTTAGTGAAAGGAATTAAGGAAGATTTTTCTTCCAAGCTTGTCTCATTCTAAAATACGCATGGTGTGTGTGTGTGTGTATTCCAATATCCTCTCACGAGAACATATGGTTTGCTGCAGCAACCTTAACGCTGAATTTATTCTCTTCCAGTCCAAAGTTCAAAGGGTAAGGAAAMACTCTGGGAAATCCAGTTCTTCATGATTTATTTGGGATTTTTAGGTAGGGAAGTCACCTCTGCCATTAATCAAACAATTTAAATGTGTTTGACTTGCTATCCCTTAACTCTTTAAATAAAAATATCCCCAGGACTATGCCCAGGACTCTGTAAAAAAAAACAGTTGCCATAGTCCCTTGCACACATCAACCAATGTATTTCACCATTTTTTGTAAGAGAATGACAGTGTTCAGCTCTAAAGCCAATAAAGAATTAATGTGTATAACACCTGAGTTGAGAAGAACACTACAAACACACGTTACTATTGAAATTTCTACAGTACTTTCCACRTAAAGGTTATTATAGACACTCCAGTTGTTCTGAATCAGACTGCAAGTCTGAGAGTAACAAAGACAGAGCATAATAAAAAGACCTGGAAAATATTTCAGAGCTGCAAGGATGGGGTACTGGTAAATCAGTGGCATAGAAAAAGCCAGGCAGGGTACAGCTATCCTCTCATGCCTCTTGCATATTAATAAGAATCACAACAAGTTAAAGTAATAAAAGAGATTTGAAACCAAGAGGTAAAACGTGCACAGGTTTCAATGAAGAGAATTAGAGCTCCTCTCAATTATTTAAAGCACTTACCTACTAAAGCAGTCATGAAACGGTTCATAGAGAGAGGCTCCAAGTACATTGGTCCTTCATATCCTGATTCCAATTCACTCCTCACATAATCCCTAAAAAAAACAAACCCACAAACTGTTATGATTCATCTGATTTAGACAAGAAGCAATTTATTCATTCCACATATATGTAACTYCAGTGTATGTCACAGCCAATTAACTAAATTGCAAAAAGCAATACTAACACTACTGTTCCAGCAGCCGCGCTGATGGAAGGATCTAACTGAGGCATGACTTAAGCGAGAGCAGAATTATCTGTAATTAGACTCACTGGCAGAGCTGTAAAAATCCTTTGGGACATCCAAGCTGTTCTTCAGAGCGTGGCCTCAAACTGCTTATTGACAAAGCCTCTTAAGCACCATTCCATTTTTAAGTATCCTTATTAAGTGTTTTTCTTCCTAACAATAATTTCTTTTCCCAACAGCAATGTGTGGAAAAAAAATTGGAGAGCTTGACAGAGAGMTCTTCCTATTTAATGCTTATAGTATTTTGCACATAAGAAGTTCTTTGCATTCAATTGAAAAGTAAGTATGAAGGAAAAGCAATAGTCACGAACTAGAGTCAGGAACAGAGTTGCTACATCACCCTTTTGTCCAACATGATTAAAAAGTTTGGTTCTCTCCTACCAGATACCCACAAACTGACAGAACACTATTCACAGACACAGTAAGTGAGCCTGAAAATCTGTAAATCCCCTCAGAAAAGGCAGGCTGGGAGGGTGAGCTCARCAACCCAAATGAAAGGTAAGAACCTAAGGACCCTAAGCAATTTTCTTCTGTTGATAGTCACCCATTGGCTCTGCCCTTGAGTAGGTTAACACATCAACAGAACTCAAAAATGAGCCTCACACTAAGAGCAGGCATTTCACACCTTTCAGAAGCTGACCCCAAAACAGCACAGCAGGAATTCTGCAGTAGCTCCTTAATCCGCTGCCATCAGACAGCAGGCAATACTCTTGACCTTCCACATCCAGATGCCAGGCTCGTTTTTCTGTCATGCCCTGCGACCCTTCCTGCTTCACTSCAGGGCAGCAGCAGCTCCACCCTCGTTAGGACACCACCAGCCCTGCCATCAGCAGCACAAAACCCTTGTGCTATTATCTGGCTGATCCTGTCCAGCCATTCACATCTACCTGCATCACATCACAGGAATGCCAGACAGACACACTTGATCTGACCCCACATGGAGCTCCCAGAGTCTGCTCGCTCGAGGGGCAATTCAGTTGTTCCATGTTTATTTATATCAGTGAGGCAAGCCACACTTGCTGGGAACTGATGCAGACAAAGCACAGCAAAACAGGACCGGAAACCACAGCCAATACAAGAATTGCTCTTTTTATTTCAGTGCAGAAATAGATGCAACTTAGTGCTACTGGGGCTGTTCACTTCTTCCCAGAAGTGTGGAAATACACYCTGATCATAGGATTAGCTTGCTACCCCAAGCAAAGGTATTCACGTTTTCACTTGCAAAAAAAAAATCTCTGGAATTCAAGACATAAATCTCAAAGTACTAAGACAAACACTTCAAAGCCTGTTCTTCATAGCTGACAACGCTGCCTACTCASAGCAGCTTTTCAAGTGTCATAGTATATGTGAGGTATGTTGAAATGCATTCTTTAGACTGCAACCTACAATTAAAAACACATGAGGGTTGAAAAGGCACCTAAGAGGACAAATCTCCCCCTTGTTCTCAAAGTATAGCTAAGCACTAGTACTTTTTTTCCACCTCCCAAAAACTATAAGGTTGTAATCCTTGGGGCAAAGCTGGTTTTCTTTCATTTATTTACATCGTATGGACYAGCAGAAAGCACAATCTGAAAGCATTAGCAACACAAACAGGATAATCCTTCAGTTACAAAAGAGAGAAAAAAAATAACAGCACTTGCAAGATGCTGAAGATGGATTTTGGCTTTAGCAAAATCATGCTCCATCCTCAAATTCTGGGTGAAAACACTGGCTATTTCTAAGCTGCTGGAAGGAAAGCAGTGAAGACATCAARTTTCTTCTTTATTTGTTAGGAAACAGGTTACAAAATCATCCAGGATACCAAGTGCAGGAAGATGACCTTACACAACTTAGCTAAGAGACACGAACAAAGCTGCACTTAAAGTTGCTTCTTCAACACCAGCGCATGCTTGGAGATGACCCAAATTTCTTYGAGCTACATTTCTTGCTGTTGTCTGATTCAGTCATCTGCACAGAGGTCTGCACTTGGCTGAATTCTCTAAGTAACTCTCAATTATAACTGAGTTTTAGGCCCACCAGTTTGGAGATGCAATATTTTATGATCTCCTAAATTTTTTAAACAGTATTTGTAGATGATGTCTGAATGAGGAAAGTGAAAGCAATGATTCTCTTATTACCAGTACAAACACAAGGATCTTTTGGCACAGACACCAATCAGAAGATGCCTCGAACAGCTGCAGTGCCATACAAGATGCTGAAAAAAGCAAGTGCCTGCACTCAATTTTGATCAATTAAAGCTGTATTAATCTGCAGCTTTTACATTTGAGGATTGTTCACTTTCCTGCAGCAATGTAAGAAAACAAGAATGCTAAAATTGTTATTTACRAGTTAATGAAATGACTGAAACTACATTACTTTGGAAAATCAGGATTTAAGATAAAGCTTAGATCAGACTGCCTGTTTTTCATTCTGCAGATGAATTCTCAGCCTCATTTAATCCAACTGCTGGCCTGTTAACAGGTACCCATGGACAACAATTACTAAATTGCCCCACAAAGGTAAAGAGATACAGAGCTTCACACGTGACCATTTTTTGYTACTGAAAGTGCAGAAAAAAATGTTACTAAAAATATGCTTTATAATTGACTGGCATAAGGCACAGTGGTTATCTGACCTAACTGACTCATATTGCTGACATTTACTTTGGCTGATTAATCTCCACTGTCAACATCAAACACACKCTCATAGATTTCTAATGTCTATAGACAATCTTAATTTTAAGTGTATTTAAAGTTTATCCATAAGAAACAATTCAGTTTCTTACTCCCTCCCTTCTCATTTTAAGCTCTGTGAGGCTCAACACACTTGGGATACAATCATAATAAAACYGCAAAACATGAAATAAGATAATGATTGGACTCCAGTTTTAGCATTAATAGTGTGTTTAATTGCATCATTTCTATTCTGCATAACTGCMTCACTTATTTTCCCAAGCTGCTTTTTGCTGGAAGTGGGAAAAAAAAAATGTGATCCTTTTAAGCAAGACATTTGTGCTGCTACATATAAAATAAAACCAGCATCCACCTTCCTTGTCAGGAGCAGCAGAACTGTGGTAAATTAATTTAGTTCGTTAAATTCTTTTAAACTGTATTTTTTTGTCAGGAGGCACCCAGCTCAAGCTGTCCCATTGCTGTGCCACTCCATTATTAAACTAATTTTTCTTGGAATTGGAAACTCTGCAGCAGGAAACCAGTCTGGATCTCAGACCAGTTTCACAACATCTTGTCTTAAATATCCAAGTGCTGGTATTGGGAGAGTTCACCAGGTGCTTCTGCAGAAGGAATTGAAGGGTGAGTGTTAAGATTCCACAAGCAGATTTGGAGAAAAGATCTACACCTTCTCAGTACTGGGATGTTTTAAAGTCCCTCCCCTGTTACACCGATCTGTGTAACGTGCACAAAGAAAGGGGCTCAACTCCCTCTCAGCAATGGGAAATATAATCTTTTAGATACAAACTGCTGGCCAAGGCTAAGGTTGGATCCAGGTCCACCTACACCCCTCTCTGAGAAGTCCTTTCCAAACTTTGTGACTCCAGGAGGGTCTCCCTGACAGACTTGTTAACKGCTTTTTCTTTATTCTTTTGGTAACAGGGAACAAACTCAGCRTAGAAAAGGGGATGCCCTTGGCCAAGGTATTGCAAAATTGGGAAAAGATTTATAGAACAGCTCAATTATCTAAAAAGCACACAGTGGCCTTGTGCCAGGAGGAATGGCCATATATTACTAGGACAGCTTGTGGGGGCCCCGGGAAATCTGGCCACTACATGGAACTTTCAATCAATTAAGACTCACTTATTTACGACACCGCTTAGAGGATAAAAGCCCTGGACAAATGCATTACTGTTTTAGGAAAAGAAAATTGGATACACCAGTCCCGTGTCAAATGAGGGGTGAGTAACCAGCCAGCTAATGAATGATGGCACTATGAAGAACTCATACTCTGAAGAGATGAAGTGGGACAGCTCACTCACCACTCTTGGTGCTGTTAACCCAGATGACCACAGCTGCATGCCTAAGTACAAAATCGATGCACAATTCAGTGTGGTACAAAGTTAACAAGGCTAAAGAGGAGCTAATTCCCACAGATTGCTAGGAGTTGGTGACCAGGCCTCTGTAAAACCCAAAGAAAGAGCTCTCATTTTTTGTGGTGAACCCAATACAGTTTATGATCCAACTTTAATAGAACCAGCAAGAATGAAGTTGATTAACCCAGAGCTACAGTTGTTTAAGACTCAAGCTGCTGTGTGTGGTTGGACACTGGGTTTCAAATAAACAAAATATTTGTTAATGCAACCTGTGGAAAGAATTAATACCAATCAGTGTCTCACTGCCAGCACAATGAGCTTAGTTACCACCCCTCCCCCAGTTAGGGAGGAGTTGATCCCACAAATTTCTGAAATCAGGACTGGCTCTTAGCTGCATGAAAGCACAATTGTACATGCAATCTGTGGTAGCCACAACCACAAGAGAAAGGTGTATCTTACACRTCRAATTAAACTGATTTTGAGAGAGAAWCCCAACTGTGGTGATATCCAGCCAATTTCCCCAYATAAACCCAGAGTAACAAGGCCACAGCTTGTGTCTCAACAGTATGTACCACAGCCCCAATCCCTGTGTTAGGATTGATTCCCAAAGGAACTAAAACACAGAGTATGGGCCCAACAAAAATGGCAGAGTATCAAATGGCAGTGTCAATGTTGATGCGCGTGTTGTAGGAGAACAACAGGSATTTATTCATGAAAGTAAAACCATCAAAGCTCAAGACATTTGTTTTGACACTGAACAAAACATCTGTCACTTGAAATACATTCCAAAGAAACCCCTGAAACTGTACTTGTCTRTGTTGGAAACAGATGTGTTTGTGTAAGAACTCTTTGTAATCTTATGTTTGTAAATAACATCACTGTAGGGACAAATAATCACTCMATTACTTCTAACTGTAATAACACTGTGGGATGCAATTTTAATTATTCAGCTCCTATTAAGTCCTATCAATAGTTACAGTCCAATTAYACTCAAGCTAAAATTTACTACCTATCCCCATCAGAATTAATCCTACACTGGCGAGGAAACCACTAAAACACTATRACCTGCATCAACTGCTGGAACATGTCCAAAACAATGGACCAAAACAAAAATTCTAGTCACATTCTAGTCAATTCAGTACAGACGAGATGCATCATGTCATGGAAAGACTGAAGAAGGAGGTACTACACTGATGGTGGAAAACTCTCTTGGGTGGTCACTAAAAGTAACAGGAATCTAYATTCATATGCTCCATCCAGTGGTGACCTTGTTTGCTCTGTTTATATTGTGCCTGTTGCTTGTAATAACAGTGTGTTGTGAGAATAAGGGTTGTATTTAAAGGCTTCATGAGTTCCTTCCTTCTTATTGAAAGACTTCATGAGTTCCTTTTGACACCTTAGCAGGAATGCCTAATGAAAAAAAGCCAGACTGTTGTAAATTAAATTTAGTTAGCTGCATTCTTTTAACTGTATTATTTTATCTGAGTGGCTTTGCTTAGTAAAAGTAGCTAAAGCTGCTGGAGTTTTAGGCCACAAGCTCCAAACTCTCACCAGTTCCAAGCTCTCACCTAGAAAAGTCAAACTTATCTTGAACTTCTGCTCAGTTACATGAAGGGAGGCCCTGAGAYCAGTGTGAACTGGAAGATAAGGAAGCCACAACTCAGCAGAAGCTGCAACCCACCCACATAAAAGCAGCCAACACCCACCTGGAGACAGAGAAAGAATCCAACAAGAACAAGAAGACCTCAGGCCAAAACCCATCACTAGGCCAAGTGCTGTGTGCAAAGCAGATGAAGAGCAGACTGGGTGGATGGATGTATTGACTGTAAGGGTACAAAGGCCCAGGGATTTGTGTACTCTGGGTTCCTGGCTGGAGGCACCCAGCTCAAGCTGTTCCTACTGCTGTGCCTCTCCATTATTAAACTAGTTTCTCCTGAAATTGGAGACTGCTGCAGGAAACCTAAGGCAAAGAAATTTCATTAACAAGGATTTTGGTTTTTTAAAGCTGACTTCTCTTTTTTTCCATAAACAGAGGGTGTGTTATTTCCACCCAAATTGCCAGGTTAGCATGCTACATACAAAAGCAGCCTCTTCTGGGACGCTCCAAGTATTCACAAACATTACCTAAAACATCCTTACACATAAAGGTAATTCTCAGTTCTGCAGGCAAAGAAACAAATATTTAAGAAATTAAGTGACTTGTCAAGGTCACATAAACCTGGAAGTTTGAAGTCAGAGCTTAACTATAAAATTCAGATGAACTTATTCCCAGACTTGGAGATGAACTGCAAGCTATTTCTGGGGTGGAAAAAAAGCACTGAAAGCTGAAGTCTTTCAACAGCTCAGAATTTCCAGGACACTGCAGAGTCACAAGTGCCAGATGATTCTGGTCTTGTTCTATAATTTGCACGAACCAAACTGGCCTCAATATAAGACCTCTTCATTGGTCTTAAATAGCATCCCAACTGGTAGTGCAYGCAAGCAAGTCCCTGGAAGTTTTCAGCTCTAAGCAAAATTACAAACAAAAAACACTAAATCACAGTCTGCACATGTGACTACTGTATGTCTTGTTATGATCAGGCTGCTAAATAGAAACATCAGTTGGAAGTGGATAGYTTTGGCAATAAGAGGAAAAGCTCTGCCAACAGATATGTCTGTCACATTTTACTATTTTCAATATAAAAACGAATAAGATTCAAAAACTCTTTTGTAAAGCTAATTCAATTGCCACTCCCCACATACGATTCCTGATTATACAAAGGCTTCAGATGAGAGCCCCTTGCACTGTGCTTCCTTCCAAACCAAATCAGCCTTATGCCTAGGGAATGGGTAAGCTCACTCAAAAGTGTCAGCAGCTACATTTGCCTTGCAAAATACCTCGGGAATACTGCTGGACTATTTGAATCCAAGACATCTTTTAATTAAATATATTTTTTGTGCTAGTTGATGCAAGATTTAATTAAAGTCTTTATTAACTCACTCCAGGAGCACCAAATAGAGAAAGCTTAATAGGAACACATGGAAACATCCAAACAATAGTTACCAAATGTGTTACAATGAAGTCTATAAGGTCCCAAACCTYAAAAAGCAACAGAAGTCAGAATTCCTATTACACAGAAACACAAACAAGGTATAAAAGGCAAACACTGCTATGCCTTAATGTATCAAMCAAATGCATAACATCTCCCTTTCTTCTAAAAAATTTAAAGATCTGGAGTGGCCTAAACACCTTCAGCTGTAAATGTTCTGGACCAAAGCCCCACATCTTATGGGCATTTGTTACCGGCTTTATTATTTCATCACAAGTTCTTAAATAATGTTTAGGCTGCTTTTTCTAATAAATAAGCCTTTAACCCTATAAGAAACACCCATAGACTCYATCTATAACAACTCAGACTCCCCTGATGATGACAAATAAACCCTTTTTTCCTTCCTACTGAGGCAATAAGAGGCTATAACTTCTCTCTTGTATGCTSATCCCTTTCAGGAAATCACTAACTGCAATTCTGACAGCCACAACAGTGACATGTCAAGTCGTCCCAAAACCTTCATTAACACTCACCTGAACTGCAACATATCAAGAAAGACATTCCAGCAAATGCTCTGGAACAACRATTTTGATGCAGAAATAACAAAACTATCACTTCTATTAAATCAATTGAAAGCACATTTTTAAACRTTTCCCATCAGCAGGCACCAAAATAAGTCAGGCTCAAGTCCATATTTTCAAAACTTCCCATGCAAAGCCTTTAACATGATAGCAGTGTCTTTGGTTCCAATTAAACATCGTGTCAGTGTGAAGGTTTACACTGCCTTTCAACAGATTTAGCTACAGCCAAACAAAGATGGTTGATTTTGTCTTGTTTGACTCAGTTCTCCAGCCTCTCACTCTGCATTTTAGATCAAAAAAACCTGCTTCCATTGTCAGTTCATCTTTGTGTAATATATTTTAAGAATAAATTCCACTACTACTTTTCAATTACTGGATTCTGGATCCTTAATTGTTCTCATCTGAGGTGCCAGGAAACAAAAAGTAGCATCCTGTCTGGTGTGTAAAACACCCCAGTGCTGAAAGCATGTTAGCTGAGCRCTGGGTAAGTTAGATTGCTGCATCAGAGGCCACATTTAGTCTTGTGAGTGCTTTCCCTCCCTAGATTAGTGGACATTACACTCCATAGATAGCTCAAAATTCCTGGTGTATTTTCAATGACTTAAAAGAACTACTTGACTGCATATTTAACTCTGTACACTTTTCTAAAGACAAAGAACAGCAAGACATATTTAGATCTCTGACATAGAAAAAAGGCCTCCACTAAACCATTTATAGAAGATATTAACGAAATAAGACTTATTTCTCTAATTCCCAAACCAAGCTAACAAAATTAATGTCTTTATTCTTACCTGGAAATTTGGTGCCCAGCATAAAGCAGCAGTGCAGTCAAAAAGTACAGGTAAAGCTGAACCAGGTGTTGCCTTGGTAAAGTTAGGAGYACAACACTTAAGATGTAACCTGTAACAAAAAGCAGAAGTTGATATTTAAAAAAATACCACCTGATGCCAAATTAAAATAACAATTTGCACGTTCATAATTTWCAATGAGGATACACAGGCTGAACTCCATACTACTCATATTATAGCACATATTAAAGCATACTCCAGCCATTAGGCTTGCATAAATCAAGGACAAGCCCTGACACAAGCCTAGGTTTTGTCAGTATTTATTGCAGCAGCTCCTGCACTTCTCAATAGCATTTAGTGAGGCTATTGAAAATGACCCAATGCAGATCCAGCTTTACTCTTCAASACCATGGCCTGGCTGCCCAGCTGCCTCTCCAACACGCAGAACACTAATCCTTATTTTCATGAGGACCTCACTCATACCCAAATAAAGCAGTAGTTTGAAGTCATAACTGGATGGTACATGTCCATACTCCTCCTTTACAGACAGGCTGCAGATCAAAAACCCAGCACATGGTGCCTTACTAATATTTATTTCCAAGCTCTCTCTCCATCACTGCAGTGCACTTGTGCTCTTTCTGAAGGTCAGCTCAAGTGCCTGGCACTGAAATCCATTTAGGAAAACAACCCAGCAACAGCCAACAACTCCCCTGAAGCGAAAAACAAAACRCTACAGAAGAACTTATCCTGACCCTCACAGCCACAGCAGTCATGTCACATTTAAAGTTTCATACATCTATTCAGGAATATGAGGCACAGTCTTTTTAGCCGAGTTAATTTATATTTTGAGCTTTTTTTAAGGGTCCTAAAACATAGCACCAGATCAGTTTCCTTACAGCAACTATTTTATACAAAATAACTTGCTTCTACTTAACACAGCACATCAGATGTCCTACACCATCAGTTTTCTTCACAAACATTTGTATTTTATGGAATTCCTGTTCTCTGTTTACCACCCTCCTTCTACCAAAAACACCAATGGCAAGAGCAGAAGCTGCACAGCAGACTCCATGAAGAGCACCTTGCACCACACCACAGCCTCATGAGCCAGCTCCAGAACTCTCAAACCATCTGCAGACATTGGTACACCTCATCTCTGCAGCATGCACCCCTTTCCCTTCATTCCTTTGTGAGGGACAATTCTCCCTGAGGAACAACCCACAACGATTTATCATTCCAGCACGTGAGTTCAATCTCCCTAMACCTTTCCATCTCACTGTAGCCTGTGACTCACCTTCAGGTGGAGAACTAAATGGAGTTTATTATGCAGCCTTTTATTCCTCTAGTACTCTATTTATAGCCTTAGAATACCTGTTTACTGTATYTTAGCTCTGTCATCTTTACCTTTTTCTATCCCAAGAAAGTTTGCTCCTTGGCCACATGATAACGTACCTGAGCAATGACAGGATCATTTCTGTAAAAGTAACATTTMAGAGGGCAGTAACAGCACTCTAACAAAGATATGGTACAGGGAAGGATCTTAGATATCACTGAAGTTCATTCTTCTCTACATGATCAAAACTTTAACCAAAAGAGTTAATTTCCTTCAGGACACAATGAAGGAGTGGGAAAAAAACCAAAAAAAAGCTAAATTAAAAGATGAAAAAAGGACTGTCACTGTGCTTTCTAACCAGCAGGCTTCCACACAGCACAGATGCTCAGAACTGTGCAGGGAAGCAGCACAAGACAGCCAAGGTTACTGCAGAAGCTGGAGCAACTGCTCAGGAGTTTRGGCTGGAATGTAAATGTTCACTTTGAAGCAGCCATTTGGTTTAATTGTTAGATTTTGAAGAGGGGGAGAGCAACAGACATTTAAAGTAGTTCCCATTCACTGTTATTTACAATTTCCTCTTGTRACTCAGTAAGAGGGAGATTTCAACACACTTCATACTGCAATATTTGCATTTTTAYTGCAGAGGCCCTATTCCCAAAGTGATACCAACCTCATTTTTATCAACAGGGCCTCTGCCAAAAAAAAAACCAGCCAAATAATTCTTTACCAACCCATCTGATTGCAGAAGAAAAGGAAGACAAGCTCAGATTCAGACATACTTGCAATAATATTCTATTCCCTTTGTTCTCATGCAGACAAATGATGTAATTAATGTATRGCGTAAATAAGATTCCATTTAAAAAAAAAAAGGACCAGGAAATTAAATTTCTCACAGTAGCTTTCTCATCTAAATCATTACATTCTGTTTTCATTTGCACCTCCTCTGCCAGAAGAAAACACGAYGCTGAGAACATACATCCCTTTGGAGAGAATCCCCACACTCAAGGACGTACAGTTTGAGAAATAGTCATCTTACTGGGTAACTTCTAGACATGAGTTAACAATAACTTMCACTCACTTCCATCCAAACTGAGTTTTTGAGCTCTATGTCAGSAATGAGCACTCCCCTCCCTTGATTTAGGCCATGCTATTTTTGCTCTTGGGACTTGGTGCATTGTCCCTTTTGACTCACCATGCACTTTTCTGTACAAAGCAAGCAGCAAGCTCAGGGAAGCCCAATTCCTGCCCCAGGAAAGAAATTGTTCTAACACATGTTAAAAACAAACAAACAAACAAACAAACAAAAAAGATAAAGACTGAATAATCCTCCCCAATACAGTCATAGTGCTCTAGTGCCAGGACACCAAGAAAGAGACTTGCACTTTTATGCTTCCAGCCATAAGGAGCATTACAGAAGACACATTCTGCCAACCTTAAAAATACACAGATCCCTCACTCAGCACCCATTCAGGAGCACAAAGAAGCAGAGAACTTCTACTGCCTCTCATGAAAGATGGTAGAGGTTTAGGSCCCACTGGGGAAAATAAACTGTGAAAATCATACTATGCAGAAAAGTTAAATTAAACACTACTAGACAAGATCACACATATTAACCAGTTCATGACCTCATTTACAGCCTGTTGATTCAGCTTGATGAAAACCTCTGGCTGTGCAATGCTCATTGTTACAGRAAGAGGCAGCTCACACACTGCCTTTCAGCAATCTCTCTCCATTTGTGCACCAYCAAGGTGTTCCCAGCTTCTCTCACCAGAATTACCTCTTTGCTGACTCAGGTACCTGAGGTTATTGACTGCACACAATGGAGGCTTCTGGAACATGATCCAAGTCATAACTCATCCTCTTTATGGAACACTCCAGTGCTCATTTGCATGATTACAGATCCCTTGTGTCCATTTCGTATTATTACTCACAGTTTCCTGCACATTAGTCTAAAAACGAGAACTTTGCACATCAAAGAGTTTGTAACATTTCTTAATAAGGCYACATGAACTCTCGGAGTGCCAGAAAATAAGAGCCCAATTGCTTGGATTCTACCAGGAAATTCATTTAGGGCACTCTACCTTTCCTTTCTCCCATATCCTGTGAGGGTAAAGGGTCCATGATTTGCAAAGCAACTTGCTGGGAAGCAGCAAGTCATGAGTCACAGATTCCATCAAAACACCCAGCTCTTCTGCCCCAGTGAGGGATCAATTCACTGTGAGTTAGTCACAGCACTTCAGCCAAATCCTTCACTGTCCTCATTTCAGTTTACTCAGACAACTCTCAGGCCACAACATCCAAGTACCAGCAACACAGGACACACTTCTCAAAGACTGTATTTGGGATGGCAGAAGTATTAGAGCAACAACTGGCACCTTTACTTTCATTGGGTCTAATTCTCAGGATAAGCAACTGCCAGACTGGTTACACTACARTTTACACAGAGATTTCATAAATTGTCAATGTCTAAATCATCTATCTCAGAAATGGATAATTTTTAAAAGATATATTTTTACATATCTGCCCTCCAGAAAATGCTGGAAAACTAGTTCAAACTGAGAAAGCACATATCTAAACATACTTGCACATAAGGAAATTGGTATTTATTCAGTCATGGCTCAGAACATGTCTGTTCTCTGTAAACAGAAACCAGAAATCCTGCTACCAACATCTGCACATCTCAGACAAAATAATGCCAACAAAACAATTTTTTCATTACTGGGGTACTGCCATCAASAGCTGTTTCTTCAATTTTTAAATGCATAACAGATTGGGCACTCTAAGTATAAATAATCCAAGAAACTGAGTTCTTTACAGAGATTTGCAGTATTGCCTGAACAAATAAAATGGACTTTTGATTTTAGTTCTGCCATATGATTCAGAGGCTCTTTCTAAATCATTAAGACAAGCTACCATGCTGTTATGAGACTGCTATTCAGAGTCAAAAATTTTATGCACCTGCTTTCAAGAAGGCTGTTAGAGGCTCCTTTTTAAAAAAAAGTAGCAATGTAGGTTGCCAAAAAGAGACACCAGCTTTATCCAGAAAAGTTACCTGAAGCTACCTGAAAGTATCCATATGCTAAGAAAGCTGCTTAGTAAAAGCATACAACACTAACGGAGCAGTATAGGAATCTTCATTCCTGAGCCAGAAAATGAAAAAAAGGCTGTGCTGGATTTTGAACATGGAACACTCTCTACCTCCTCCTGTGTCCTACCAACTGCAGCATACACTGCATTTTATCCAAAAAGAGAATGAGAAGACGTAACAAGCAATTATTTTAAGAAATAAAGACCAAGTCCATGTCATCAAATTGCACTTGATTAAAAATAGCTACAGTTTAAAATTAAATAGTGACACGCAGAAAATAGTTCTACTACCCATTTATCTAAGTGCTGCTGGCAGGASACAGACAGAAGACATGGGACACCAAAGCCAGAGATGCTGAAGCTAAGCAGGACCCCATCTTTGTGTGCATTAACTGCATTTACACATTTACTTCTGCATCCTCTCCTCTCAATTTTACAAAATTTGTTTCTGTAATTGTCACAACAGTAATGAACCAGTCTTCTCCTCACACTGAAGCTTCACTTGGCATTTCTTACTGTGTCTGTACCAGAGTGCAGTACCTTTCCGCTTAAGAGGCAACATAAAAAAGCAACCCCAATAAARGATCTTCTACTTATAGCATGAGACYTTAAAGAAAAGTGGGCAGACCAAAGCATGCTATCAGCAAACACACAGGGCAGGAAGTTCAGCAGGTTTCTCCTCCCTCAAGCCCCCCTCAAAAAGGGAGCATTCATAATAAGCAGCTCATACCTAGCAAGTGATGCGACCAAGAGATTAAAGTATTAACCACAGTTCAAGAAACTGTCATTACAAACAGGGTTGTGAAAGATGACACAACTTCCACATATTCCAAATATTTAAATACTTCTCTTACTTTTTTTTTTTCCCTGAGAGTATCTTTTTATTTTTTGTAATGACAAAGAATACAGTTTAAGATAGAAAACGGMTCTATTTTTACTCTTGAGTAAGAAAACCCTGTATTTAGTGCAATTCTGTGCCTCACTCATGACAGTGACTTACATTCCAAGCCTGACTGATTATAGGTTAAGCTCATGACTCTTTCCATCTAGCTCAGAGTATTTACCAGTTAGCACAAACAGCACTGCTTTGCCCTTCTTCACAGGAGGAAATTACGTGGCTTCAACTGTTTCCATCTTCTTCACCAAGAGGACAAAAAAAGAAATATCCCTTTTCTCAGAGCTACTCTACAGTCCAGAAGAAAACAAGAGAAGTCTGGCAGTAAGTKCTAATCTACCCTACACAGAGGTTACACCAATTCTAACCAGAAATTTATCTCTGCTGTTTACACTATTCTGTGCATATTCAGTTAAATTTCATGCAGGTGAACTTGTGGTTGAGCAGTTAYCAGGACTGAGTATTTTCCTTTGCTCAAGCAGATAAGGGCTGTTTCATGGAAAGATATGAAAAGGAAAAGTTGTTTCAGAGAACAAATTGCATTCCAGAAGCTTTTATTATACTCCCAGTACTGCTAACTGGAAGGGGAATCACACTGGAACACGCATAATTTCACTTGATATATTTAAACATAAAAGACACCTCTGGTAAGCCCCAGTTCTGAGCAAATTTCCAACGCTGTCTCYTTAGTTCCAGGAAAAGGTTCACTATATAAAGATTGGTAGAGTTTATTAATTTTTAGGGCTCTCTAATCAAATTGTTCCTTGAGCATCTGCCTGAGATAGATGCACCCAATTTCCTCAGCTGCTGGAAGTCTTTATATAGCTCTATATATAGCACTACAAGATACTGTCTTGTAGAAGAAATTCAGTGATTGTTTGATATTGCAAAGCTGCCGCTGCATTTGCTGATAGTGTTTCCTAACTGYAAGTACGAACAGAGGATTTTTTTCCTAAATAAAGCAGATTAGCACGTTGAAACACATCCATGGTGAACTGTTGTTTAAATCATATGCTGGCAGTTAATTTCTCTCAATGTATCTTCAAAGAAGCTTAATTCCCCAAACTGGTGGAAAAGTACTTTGTTTTCCTTACAAATCCAATTTATATATTTTGATACATCATCATAATTAATGTTATACTGTAAAGTGATGCAACTAAATCTATATAAAATGTCATGGAKGCATGTAAATTGATTTAGCCCAGCTTCACCCTGACACAGCTTAAAAAACCCCCAAMAAYCAAGGAAATTAAACACAGCAACTTYATTTTAAAAGTAMCAGCAAAGTTCTGTCACTAAAAATTGTCTGAAAATCTTTTAAAATGAGCAACTTGTTTGACAATTTAGAAGCTCTTCTTGCTCAGCAACTACCAGATGGAGAAATAGAAGTGCATACACGCAATGTCATAAAAGCAMGAAGTAAAAGAACTGCTGAGTGATTGTGCACCAGCACAAAAACACCCCTTGCACAAGGAGCACAAAGTCAGATTCCACTGGTTKAGTACCAAAATAACATCCAGGTGGGAAATTCTTTGGTAACAATACCCACCCTATCTGAAGTGGCTTTTATTGGTGTATCCCAACACACTTCAGCAAGGACAAGATTATCAAAGGCCTCTAAAGAGGGGTTTTGTCACAGCTGGAAATCACTGCCATCTTGAAAATCTACTGCATAAATGTTAGTTCTGTATTAGAACCTGAGCTAATAAAGTTATTCCTAAAAATTACGTGTGTGCACACAAATGCACGAGAGAGCCAGTTGTAGGTACAGGCCACCACAGTCCTGTGTCACATTCACCAGCCCCTCTGTCCTCTCCCATAGACAAAGGAAAAGGGAGCAGTGACACCAATGTTTTGTACCACAAGTACATTGTCATACCACCATGAGTACAGTGGAGCCTTAACAAAGAAAGCTGCACACATTTTCAGTGCAGTAAATGATTTCCAGACAACAGGTATCTAATACACTAAAAAAAGAGAAGTCCATGCCAACATTTATACAGTCAGGATTAAAGTCAGGGCTTGTTACTTCAAAAGCCCTCAATTYTCAAACTACTTAAGTAGTGTGTTTCCTTTAGCTGACTGCAGTGCATCTTTATCTTCCAAAACCATCTACAAGGAAGAAACACTAYAGAGTGAGAAAATTATATGCTAGCCCCTTCTCTCCAAGTTAGGCAGCACTCAGGCAGATGCTCACCAGAGATCAACCTCACCAGCCTGAACCCAATCCCTAATTTACCCTGTGTGCAGATGAATCACATTCTCACCCCGACAGCAGGTCCCAGAACACCAATCCTTTCATCTCCTAAAAGCAGACATCCAGCATTCCAGAGCTAGACTTGCAGGCCAAGGCTCACACCTCAGCTGCCTGAATTTAACTAGTAATTCTGTCCATCTATGTGCAGCACAAGGACTGGTTACCTGCTCGAATCCACTCACAGCACAGAGATGGCTCATAAGGCTGTAAACTAAAGAGCCAAATCTGTACAGCRGTGAAAGCTAAACTTCTGGAAATGTGCTTAGACCAAACCAGACCACCTCTTCCCTAGTCTCTTGTTTAATGGTTACTGTATTTCTTGTCTGTTCCTCATCAGTCAAACACAGCCCAAAGTTACCGTGCTCTTCTTTCAGGACATCCATTGTGTTTTCTAACACCAAGTTCACTCTGTTTACTTRTAAAGCTAAATAACAACAATCAGTAAAAACCCTGGACAGGATTTCTTTGCTACTAACATAAACTATCCCTTAGGCAGAACTGTAATGAATGTATTATCATGCTGTTCATTGTAATCAATATATTAACATGCTATTACTAAATTCTTAAAATTCTTTTAGCAAGCGAAAGAGTATTCAGTAGTGTTTTCTCAGGAATAGATCTATACTCACCCACATAATGCATATTAAGGGCCAAGTACTTGTACTGGAAGAGAGGGTTGTTGTGCAGGCTACTTCTTTGGATCTGCTGGAAGAATGAGCTGACATCCCATCTGTACAAGACATCCAACAGCATGATGCTMGGGACCCTCAGGGCCACGTTTAATACTGCCTCCAACTTCTCCTTTGCAGCCATTCTCTTCCCTTTCTGTGAATTGGCAGCAGACTGTAAATAGCACAAGAGAGAGAAGAGTAATCAGATCAATCCCACTGTACAAACAGCCATTAGGCTTTGTGATCGTATGAATGGGGCTTCCTGTGTGGCCACAAACGAGTGAATGAATCAACTGAGTTAAATTCAAATCCACACAGGACAGCTTCTATTTTTGCTATATAAAGGTCAATTTGCTAGCAGTTTTTCCATGGTGACACTGTAAAATGGGGGGAGGGCAGGTTAATGACATGAAAATAGTCCAAGGGTGTGCACTATTCTTATTTGCACTAATTCAGCATCCAAATGCTCAGCTAAAAGACCCAATRTAGTAAGTAATACATAGACATTTACATGATCAGCATTAGAATGCAAATACTCTGTATGCTTTAGAAATGAAACACCAACAAAATTCAGACACTACAACCATCTAGCACTATTTCTGTCTCTCAAATTAAATAATCACTAATTAAGAGAGTTCTTTAAACATTTTAGTTTTGCTTCCTCAATGTAAATTGAAGTAAATCATTTTCAAATACCTAAGCTTTAAAAAAAWTCATTTATAGCCTTTATTAACCTCTACAAATTTATCTATTTATGGAATTTGAGAGCTGTGTGTTTTGAAGATTAGAACCAATCACGCAACTATTCCACTCATGCCTATGTAATTCAACACAAGGAATCATACAAACAAAAGACCATATCCTGAATACTAGAAGGYAATTTGATGGCTGATGCAAAACAATGAAGGGCACTGTTCTTTTAAAACAGCTGGTCCACAACAGCATCTCAAAAGTTACCAACAGAACCATTTTAAAGAGCAAAAGTATCAGTTTCCGCATCACGTCAGCTAAGACTGACCGTTGTTCCTAAATGAAATGTGCTGCTTTTACCATTCACCACCTGCCCATCCCAGGGACATGATTCACTGCAGGCTACATTAGAAAAGTGCAGTTGAAAATGGGGATGATCCAGCAAGTTTTTATCCACAAGAAGCCACTCAAAGTAAAATCACCTGCAGCACAATCAGCCCCCCAACGAGGTCAGATTTAAGAAAAGGCTCCCAATCCCAATTATTAGGGAGACAATTGAAAAGTACTGCACCCTGAGCAAAGAAACAGAAAAATCTGCACTTTATTTTAAATAAAATGACACAGGACTTTATTCATCTTGTCCTTGYGTAAGTTATAAAAGTTTTTGCAGCTGTGAAAGCTTTATACCTAAAGCCAACACAGAAGTYCAGCATGAAGTGAAACCATGCAAATATATGAAAAAACCCCAACTCAAAAGAACAAAAAACCCCAAGAGCTCTCACTTACTCACACGCCTCATATGAGATTTTATTTGTGTTTCTATGGCCTAGATGACACTGCACACTGTTCATGTCATACCTTCACCCACACTCACACTTCTCAAGGCATGATGACATAAAATTAATTCAGCTCAAGAAGTCAGGACAGATTAAAACTGAGATATGGCTCAATAAACCACAGGTTGCAGGGCTGTTGCTTGCCATTGTCTAGCCCACAGTCTAATTTTTGAAATTATGTAAATGCTGGGCACTTTTTACAGAGCTCTTGCAACAGCTCTACAAACCCCAAGGGGAACCCATCCTTCCCCTMGCACAGGAAGTGCCTTCCAAGCACATCGGGCATTCCACACAACACCAACATTTCACAGAGCTGCCCAAAACAAATKAAAAGATCAGCCACAGGAATACAAATATTTAGAATGAACAACCAAAACTACCAACCAAGCAGCTACTACAGAATTGGAGTATTCAATGTTTTGTGTGAATAGAAGACGGAGTTTAAAGGGATGGCACCRTAGCGATAGAAGTCAGGAGTTTCACAGGTTGTATATAAAGAGCTATAAAAAACAGCAGCTTAAAAAAATCGTATCAGAGTATTTTAAATGTCCCAGAATTTTCAAAAGTCTATGGGTTTGCCAAGTTCATAAATTTTATTAAAACTGTGAAATTAAGCTGCCTCCTGTTTTTTTCAGTAGGTTCCTTTTCCAAGCAGATCAGAACCCAGGGATAGGGATGAGCAGGGACTGAAAGGTTTTCTTTTTGTCATAAAAATACCCATGTAAAGTAACAAGTGCCTGATATCAAATTACATTCTCAAAACTGTCAAACCTTCTTCAGTCATCAACAACAACTGAACATGTATGACAAGAAAGTAACTTTCACTTCAGCTTTAACTTTCCTTAACTCCAAAACCAGAATTCCATGGACAACTTCTCTAATACTGAAAGTTAATTTGAGGGTCAGCACATCCAAATTAACCTGAAAAATTCTGCCTCCCAAACTCACACACGGATACTTGAGACTTAGCAAACTAAAAAGTAAACCATTTGAATTATTTATGAAAACAATTAGATTTCAAATGCTGCTAAAACAAAAGCAAAMCAATCTTTGAAAACCACATCATGTAACAACGGAAGTGCTGTGAGGAGCAGCCACTGTAACTCCACAGCATCTCTGTCCCTGTCTGACAAAAACACCCAATACTAATAAGAAACCCTTTAAAATTAACTCCACTAGAAATGCGGATGTGTTAAATAAAGCCTCAGTTGTAATGGCTGCCAAGTTCTAACAGAACGAAACAGAGGCAAGCAAAGTCCATTGCTCTAAGCTCATTATATTGTAAAGAGCTCTCACAATACATTATTTTGATTGGTGTAAAAACAAACAAAAAAACSATCACAACATTAAACCTCTAAAACCTTCAGATAAATGATGATGACAAGAGTTTCTGGGTGCTCAGGCGTTGGAAAAAAAAAATAGGTCACTTGTTCAAAGCCAAAAAATAGACTGGGTAGTCACTTGTTTGTGTTTCAAATTTTTTTTCCCATGATTTCAAGTATCTCCCTGTTCCAAATGAGAGTAAGAAAAGGAACAGTCTCAAGGAGGCTGTCATGGTTTAACCCCAGTCAGGAGCTAATACCACATAGCCACTCACTCACCATCACCCCTCCCAGCAGGACAGAGAGGAGAACTGAAAAAAGGGAAACACCTTGGGTTGGGATAAGAATAGCTTAATAAATAAAATAAAACTGAATACTGCTAATGCTAATAACTGTGGTGAAAGGCAGATAACAACCACAACAATAAAAAAAAAGAACTAACAAAAAAAAAAACCTATACAGAAAAAGAGAAGACTAAAACCCAAGAGAAACAGGGGACACAATCCAGTTGCTCACCACCCACTCACTGATGCCCATCCAGTCCCTGAGCAGCCATCAGTGTCTCTCAGCCCGGTTTATACCTTGGGCATGAGGTTCTGTGCTATGGAATATCCCTTTGCCCAGTTTCCCCAGCTCCYTSTGCACCTGCTCACTGTCAGAGCACAGGAAACTGAAAAATCCTTGATTTAGAGTGAGCACTGCTTGGCACCAGCTAAACCATTGGTGTGCTATCAACATTACTCTCATACTAAAAACACAGAAAATTAATTCTATCCCAGCAAAAGCCAGGATCAAGAACATCACACTTCACTTCTTCACTTGAGCTATTTGGCCAAAASCAACTTTTTAAAAATTTCCCATCATAAGTGACTCTTCACAGAACATGTATTGTTCATTTTTGTTTTCTAACAATTATTTTTCAAAAATCCTTCCCTCACCTGGCACACCCATTTTRTCAAAAGCATATTCCTGGTTACCTTTAAAGAAAACAGCAGAGCTATCAAAAATCAATAAAAAAAAATAAAAAAGGGAAAAAGACTCCTTCAAGTTTGTCCCAGTTCATTCCATCATCAGAACAGACCATCTTGAGTGTGATCACACAGCACACACTCTCTCAAAGATAACACACATTTTCCCTTTCACAGAATTTTCTTTCTGAAGTTTTGTCACAACATAAAATTTTGCCATTTTAGCTGAAGCTGTGAATTCTGCCACTTAAACCAGTGTAACTGTTGCTTCTTCGCCAACATAAATATAAATCTATCACATCACAGACAGAAAATATGCCCTGATAAAGCAGTACAAGAGGCCACAAAAATCTGCATCCATTTATCCAAACAGGTACAAAATTACATTAACAGAGACSAGCTTTCCATTTAAGAAAACATTAATCAGAAAGTTACTTAATAGTTACAGAAATAAACTGGAATATCTGCAAATGTAAGAGTTATTCCAAGACTATTGCCTCCAAAAATCACCACGGAAAGAGACAGTAATTCCAGCCAAGATCAGAACCTCAAAACCAGACTTGATCCTGCAACATTCAGCCTCACATCTGTGAACAAGATGCTCATTCTCCTACAGCATCACAGCCTAAAATACTTGACAAGATTGACTAAAATCCAAAAGACACAATTTCAACTTCTGTTTCCCACATCTATGAAATTGTAGTTACTCTGGATACTTCTGTTAGCATGCAGATTCAGAACTGTACTTTAATTTCCACGTTAGATTACTTTTCAGTAACATATTCTGAAACTAAAAATATCACCAGGAAAACCTTTTATTTTTCTGTCAGGCAAACTTTGCTAAACAGACTTTGAAGAGGGGGAAAAAAAATTTAAATATAAACCCAAACCTAACACAAAATATACAGCTCCTATCTGTAGCTGTAGAAAAGTTCAGCATCACAGTTCAAAAACTAAAATTAGACCCATCAGCTGGGTTGTACTTCAGAGCCCCTTCTTTATACCTGAGAAGCAAAAAGAATTTGAATTAAAGAAGAATCCCATTCTTCAAAGACTAAGATTATCATCAGTCTGRGAGGAAGAAAACAAAGAGAAGCAAAGGGAAGGAACAGGACAGAAAGGTTTATCAAACATGCACTTAGAAAAGAATCTCCCTGTGTGATTCCGCAGAAAAAAAAATAACAAAACAAATGTAGAACTGAGAGTATGTGAGTCACCAATCCATCAAAAGAGCTCCTTCCCTTGCAGACAGTGGCAAAGAAGGGAAAAGACTCTCTTGCTCCCATACAATTTAAATTGGCTAATAAGGACAGGACAGCACTCAAAGATTTCTGCTGAGAAGRCCAGATCCAGCGA